GGCCACACTCACACAAACACACACACTCTCCCCACACTCACACAAACCCCAAAACACCCTGCCACACTCAAAAAACACACACACTCTGCACATCACACAAACACACATATCTACCACACTCACAAAACCCCACTCTGCCCACCCCCACAAACCACAACCCTGCCACATCACAAACAAAAACACCCCGCCACACTCAAAAAACACACGGGACTCGTCACCTACACAAAAAACACACTCTCCACACTCACAAACAGACTCTGTCACACCACAAAAACACACACACTCTCCCACACTCACACAAACACAAACTCGCCCCACACTCACACAAAAAAACTCTGCCACACTCCACAAACACACACACTCTGTCCACTCACCAAACAACACACCTCCACACTCAAAAACACACACTCTGCCACACCCCACACAAACACACCCCTCTGCCACACTCCCCAACACACACATTTGCCACACTCACACAAACACACACACTCTGCCCACACTCACAAACACCCCACTCTCCCACACTCACACAAACACACACACTCTACCACACTCACACAAACACACATACTCTACCACACTCACACAAACACACCTCTGCCACACTCACACAAACACACATACTCTACCACACTCACACAAACCACACTCTGCCACACACACAAACACACACTGCCACACACACAAACACACACACTCTGCCACAATCACAAACACACACACTCTGCCACAATCACAAACACACACACTCTGCCACACTCACAGAAACACACTGATATATACACACGAACATACATACTGTAAAGGGAAATTAATAGGACAAATAGGGTCACAATGTTTGAATTCAGAGGACTAGGATCACGGGAACACAGGTGGAAGCTCAAGCCACAGCTGAACCATAGGGATGTCAGGAAGTATTTGTTTGGTCTCAGGGTGGTTGAACAGTGCAATAACTTGGATGAGGCAGTTTTGGAGGCAAACTTAATGCACAGATTCGAGAGTAGGCATGATGATGCCCTAGACGCCAGAAATCAGTGACATCGATCAATAGAGTGGAGGAGGCGGCGAGGCCATGAACTCGGTGATCACATGGTTGTATGATTTGTATTGCAAATAAACACCCAAAATAGATGTTGACATTTAGAACTATCTTTACTAAATTACTACATTTATGAGTAGAGCCCTAAACCCCCACACGGGTTTTACAGAGCATGGGGAATGGGAGGAAATCAGGTTCGACCTGATTTCGACCATGCTTTCATGGGAATTATACAGATTTTAGTGTATAAAAACGTCATGTTGAGTGTCAGATGGTCCCATGTAACACACTGTAAAGTGATCATATATATATATATATTATATTTATATATATATATATAAATATATATATATATATAAATTAAAATATATATATATATATATATATATATATATAACCATACACCCGAATAAGGATTAAAATAATTTCTGAGCATTAACGCTGAACAAGTACGCCTCTCGGTGTATATATCCTGTATTTAAACACTTGAAGTTACTTTAATAGCTGCGTTGAAGATTAGAAGTGTCCATGACTACCATCTTACATGTAGTAGACAGGTTTTGAACCTAAAAAAAAAAAAATCCAACCCACCGTTTTCTGTGTGATGGAATTTATTATGAGGCGACCACGCCATTAAGTCAGCGGTGAGGAAATTGCAACATTCCCTCACTCACCCAAAACTCAAAATTGAATACTCAGTCCAGAATTTAAATACCAACTTTTGAAAAAAAAAAGAAACAAAAAAGAAAAGTTTGACATTAGACTTATAATCTAAGTTTTTCACGTCTTTTATTTTTAGCAACACACTGAGAATAAATATTGGTGCTAAATTAAATTCACGTTAAACACGCAAAATTAAAAATATATATACATGCATTTATTTAATTAATTAATAAATGACTATGAATGTTAGTAACTTTAGAGCAGTAAATTTTTAAAGAGTCAACGCCAGTTTTTTTTTTTTTTTTGCAGTTTGGCCGGTTGGTCAGGCTTAAAGACTATCGACTATACGAGGCTTGACGAGGCTGCATGTCACTTCACACCACCAGTCAAAGATAATTTAAACAATAAAATAAATATTAAAGCAAGTTCTCCGCACTAATACACAGAGACACATAATTCTCTGTATAATCTTGCTTTCAAAAGTCCACTTCTTGGTATATACACCAAGTTTACTCGTATACGCAATTTGTCTGCAATGAGATTCAAAGCAGATTCACAGGATATATACAGAGAGATAAAGAGGTATATTTCTCCCTTCGTATATGGGCTGAGAGTTGGCTTTAATGCCTATTTCAACGATTAAAGTAACCGTATCTGGTAGTGAAAAAAATACACACAGCCTTAATGACCCTAGAGTAGTCGATAGGCTTTAAACTGCATTAACCAGCCAACCAACTGATTCGAGACGACTGGTATCGAGTCAGTGTGTCAGAGTGGCGGACAGTCTAGCTTGACCCTCTGTGTCAGCACCTTGCGTCTGCCAGAGTAACCAGGAATAACGACTGTCCTAACAGACAAGTGTATCTTACGTTGTGTGGTGCTCGTGCGTGTGTTGTCGTTCCTGCGTGTGTTGTCGTTCCTGCGTGTGTTTGTGATTGTACCGTTGTGTCTCCTCCCTCTCCTCACGACAGCTACTACAACAGATACAGTAAGAAGATTTAAAGATCATGGGTAATGTTTCGGCAAAGTAGGGAGGGTAAGTGTGCAGTAAAACTCTTGGCATAACCAAAGCAACAGATATAAACCTTGGAATTAGATAGAAACATGTGGTTTAAACAAACGCTAAAACAATTATGAAACGGTTTCGGTCCTAGGACCTGTAAAATATAGCCTTACACTTATAAATAAACCAACTTGCAAAAACCAAAATCTGAATTTTAATATTTCCACTATTATCCTCTTCACAGATTAATGTACATGAATCTTTGCCAGAATACTATCGCATATTTTCAGAATAACTAACATTTAAGTGATTTCTGTGTATTAACGGAAAAAAAACGCAAAAATTTTAGCAAATATCTTTTAATTTACCTAAGAATATAACAGCAGGAATACTAGTTCATGCTAGGTAGGTCCAACTCCACCCATTCACACCAACTCGTGTACCTGTCCAATCTATTTTAGACTCTTGGTTAAATATTTCCAACACGTTACTTATTCCGGTTTTCATTTCTACATGTCAAGTCATATCATCCCCTTAATTGAACGTGCAACCAGGAAAATCAAAAATATTATCGTCGTCTGTCACCACACACTGCACTCTCCCAGTGACCATTTCCCCGAAGAATTCAAAGTACAAAGGGGCGATATATCTTAGACGAAAACTAAGTACCTTTCAATTTTTCCCCCAATCTCTCGAGCTGAATAACATTGATCCAGTGTCAGGACCATGTTCGACACTCAAATAATGCAGCCCTGGACTATAGACTATTGATTAGACTCGCGAAATCGTAATAACACGATTGAAAACAAACAACGGTACGGGTAGGGCTCGAACTTGTAGCGAGCTGGCCCGGTGGTTTACGCACTGGCCTGGAGTTTTAAGACTCGCTTGCAGTGAGCTCGAGCCCCACCCGTACCCTTGTTTGACTGTTGATTAGATTTCCTGTCGCATGAAATGTAAATTCGTAACCAAATGCCTTTTAGTTTGGTTTCATAAGTTAACCTTTGTTTTGCACGTCTGGGCGTTTGTACATCACTAAGATTAGCTCTTCGTCTCTCCAGAAAATTGTCAAATACTGTTATTGTTCCTTACACGCTTGCTGATGCGGTAGTTTTCAACTTCCCCCTGACAACCCTGAACTTAGCCATACCAGGGAAGAGCATCCTTCTCCTACTTCGTCATCCCGGGTATCAACTCCAGCACACCGTTAGTGTGTTCCCAGATTGATATTCGGCTAGCAAATCCCTGTTCTATATACACAGGTCTGTTCTTGCAATACAAGTTTCTTGCTCATGCTTTGAAGTGGAATTTATTTGTGATGGTGAAAGGAGGCAGCGCCTTCCTAATACCAGACCAGTCAGGGAGCAACAGGTTTCTAGTATTGTTCTAGCCTGAAAAAATAGAAGTTAGGTATACGAGAGTTTGACACTGTATGGATAGGGAAAATGAAATCTAGGCATGTGAGAATTTGACATTAAGACTAGTATAAAATGAAAGCTGTACATAAATGGTATACAGTACTGACAAGATGAATTAAAAATTAGAAACCAATGGTTTCATCAATACAAGGACATAATGTGAAAAATGTAGAATTGTATAGAAAGGATGAGGTAATCATTCCTGGAGTTGAAGACCACCGTAGTCTTCATACTGATTACCTCATCTTCTGTATATAGTTCTACAGTCTTCCCATTATGTCCTTATATTTATAAAGCCATTGGTTGGCGAAAGCTAGGTATGTGAGAGCTTATGGCACGGAAAGGACAGTGTAAAATAAAACTCGTGTGTACTACTAGGATAATTATAAACTACAGGTCTTACTCAGGGGATAGCTTTCTCGGTTCACCGAAAAAAATATCCCTCGATTTCATCCTTCAGCTCCTGCGCCGTCGTCCACAGCGTAAATCTCGGGTGTACAATAAACTATCTTCTCCGGCGACTAAACATTTAAAATTAATTGCAGTGGATTAATGGAGCGTTGTCGAAAATTAATGTAGTAATAAAATTGTTAATGGATTTTGCAAGAACTGCCGATTTAATTTCTTTTAATCTTTCGTACCCAGAATGTACCCGTGTTGGTGGGAGGGGGGTTGGGGGGGGCTTGCTTGTTTCATAAAAGGCAAACATTCCAGACTTATTATTTCTTACGGGAATACTTTGGTATCAGGAAATGAAGGAATGTTGGCTGTGTACACAACTTTTACAAGTTTTCTACTCGTAAAGTTATATTGTTGAAAGTTTATATTTACTGGGTTACTTAGAGGGTCGTCTAGTAGGTGCAAAGACAGCAACAAAACTGAACTTAAAGTACGCTTAGGTCCAGTTTTGGAACTAATGCTCTTTAATTTACATAATTCTTGGCAATATAGTCAATCTTCTGTTTTAAATGATTTTATTGTTTTCAGTGTAGTAGGAGAGGAAGGTGGGGAAAGCAGGAGGGAACAGAGGCGAGAGGGAGAAGAGAAGTAGGGGAAAGGATTGAGAGAAGAGGAGGAGGGGATGGAAAAGTAATGTGGAGGGGAAGGTAAAGATAATGAAAACATATTTTTTTGTGGGTCATTATCTTGGTAAAAAAAAAAAAACTGTCAAAACACACACACTCGGTATATACATATTTCATAGCCACATACACATCTGTATGTACAAGGAAGAAATCACAAAATGCGTGATTACCAATATGGAAAAAATATGCATCTGTACAACGGTATATACCCGTGCACATTCACAAATACATAAAATGCATGGATACGCACCACGTATTATACAGTAACGTAATGGACACGGGATATATTGTTGGTGAGAATATATGCGCACTGTTAAAAAAAAATTTACATTTTAATGTGGGTTTCAGCACTGATGTTTCACACCATTGTAACTCTCGCGTGTATTGCAACAATTAACGATATTATCTAAAAGAAAGCTGGGTGTGCTAGGTTGGAAGAAAGCTGGGTGTGCTAGGTTGGAAGAAAGCTGGGTGTGCTAGGTTGGGAAAAAGAAAGCTGGGTGTGCTAGGTTGGAAGAAAGCTGGGTGTGCTAGGTTGGAAGAAAGCTGGGTGTGCTAGGTTGGAAGAAAGCTGGGTGTGCTAGGTTGGAAGAAAGCTGGGTGTGCTAGGTTGGAAGAAAGCTGGGTGCACTAGGTTGGAAGAAAGCTGGGTGCACTAGGTTGGAAGAAAGCTGGGTGCACTAGGTTGGAAGAAAGCTGGGTGCACTAGGTTGGAAGAAAGCTAGGGGCATGACCCATAATTTTGATGGTCACAATAGAAAGGGAAGAAAGGAGAAATTCGGGAAGGAAAAAGATTGAAAAATATGCACTTTGGAGCCGAGGAGAAAAGCAGTGACCTTGTTCTCCTGGGGAAGTGATTGTGTGGTGGCTGGAGGACTTGCTTCCTGGAGCTCGCTTTCCACCGGACCACAAGCTGGAGGAAGGGATTTACCTTCCGTACAAAAAGAAAATGGGCGAAGAGAAATAAAACTGAGGCAATAAATCAGTGTGAGGTCATTCATTGCAAAGAGCAGAGGTTTCATCTTTTGTTATATAAGCACGAAAGAAACTTGCTGCTACTGTGCCCACCTAATTGAAATATTGAAGCTTTTATGTTGAGACTGGTAGCGAGACGAACGTGTTCAACAGTGTTAAGGAGAGTATCTGAAGGTAACACAAAGAGCAGGGGACAGACAAGGGGATGGAATCTGGGAATGTGATCATAGGGAGGGGAGGAGGGCCTGGTGAAGAGCGGCAGGAAGGTGGAGAGTCAGGTCAGGAGGGAAGGGGAAGCCACCGAGGTGTTTACGAGAAAGGCTGAAGTGTGGGGGTGCATACCTGTGGTTGGTTCCAGAGATCACTGCCTCGTCATCCTGTGGCTCGGTTCCCGACTAGGCCTCTTGGGGAAGTGACTAAGGGGTGCGTAAGCGAATTTTCTCTGACAGACCTTGACTATGCGATGGAACGCCACATTTAACTTATGATCACTTGTCTGGTCGGCTATTTTCTTCCACAGAGGTTTCAGCAGTTATTACAGAGTTTACACTGCGAGTCTAAATATTTGAGAGTATACATTTCTATTTTTTTTTTTTTTTTGTATGTCTTAAAACTTCTCTTTTATTATGAGAAGTCATCTTGAGATAGTAATTCCCAATTGAAACTTCAACTCAGGAGCGAAACTGAAGTTGTCTTAGCTACTTAATACCAAGTTGGAAGGATTTTTTCATTGCCTTAGACACTCGACTGACAAATTTCATTACTTAGTGCGCAAAAAGTTACCCCTTGATAAATTTCGACAGGAAAACTTTGCTGTCTTTTGTTTCCGCAAAGCCATCGTCATAGAGGACAGTAGCAGCAAATTGCTGATGTTCCTAATTTCCTTTGTCAACCCCATTTTTTTACTCCACGTGATTATCCAATAAAATTGGGAAACTTTGCCTCTATTTTCTAGGATTTTAAGAGGCTAATAAAGTGGTGCTGTAACAAATAGAGAATGGTGTGCGCTCAAGTTTATTCCGTTAACTTTAGACGAAAACGTGTGTAGCTTTGATATCTTATTTACTGTCTCTTGCTCATTACGTTCAACAGTGACTATCCTTCACAAGATAGCAGGGATGGGGGGCCTTGTCAAGAACTTCTGCTTCCTGGTAACCATACCAGCGCAAATCGAGCGATCTACTTGACAGAATAAAAACATCAACATTAGGAGCAAGTTGGCGTCTATATGCTCTTCCTTTCACAAACTCTCTGGACCAGGCCACAGCGCTGGTACGCCTGAGGGTGCAAAACCTAATCTCCACCTCTCTGCTATTGATTTTATTGACTGGATAGTTATGTAAACTTCAGTATTTTCAGCTACAACAGACAGCTCTACAGTGCTCGCCTATCAGTGGAACACTAGGAGCCAGAACTCTACAAAATCATTCTTAGTAGCGTAACGTGGCTATGTAGATCATTTTACTACTTCCATACTAAAGAATATTAGAGATCTGATTCAGTAAAGTTCATCCAGTTTAAGGTAGACTCCCCAAAAAACGTAATTCCCATCCATGCTGTCAATTCACAAACCCGATCATTTACACTAGTTCTAGGTTACAGGCAAGTACACCAAGAATTATTTCTATTCCCACCAACCTTTGCGAACAAAACGGAGGTGTATATGTGTGTAATATATATATATATATATATATATATATATATATATATATATATATATATATATATATATATATATATATATATATTACGAGGGAAAGAATAATGCAGTCCTGAATACCTATGAGATGAAAGTGTAGATTTACCAGTGGTTCACGTAATTAAAATTTCCCTCTTATTTCCCCCCCAATCCCCCAGAGTGAGAGTTTTTCATTGCTTTTCTTTTCAGATTTGAGAAAGAGACATCTCGAATCTTTCATGATTCGTCCTAACATAGCTGAGAACGTTATCAAGGTCTCCTTTAGATGTAGGAGCAACGACAGCCAATCCCCACCATCGAACAGAGAAACAGTGCGTCTCCATACCTTCTATGCTCGTGTTTTATATTCTGGTGTTGAGGCTTCCAGATGGTTTATGTAGGCGAAGCAAATTTTAAATATATGTTTGGAAGATCATAAATAAGCTTTGACTATCAATAACCCTTAAAGCTTACGTGGTTCATCGTAACTCTCATAATCTGGTGTTGTAGAAGAACGCAAAGTTGTAAATCAGTCATTTTCCTAAGTGACTGAAATCTCGGCAAGAATATTAAAATCAAAACTTTTTAGGTAATATACACCATTTTTATACTTGGTTGAACTACCTTTATACTTTAAACATAATGATCTCTGCTTTCGTCATCTGCTGTTTCACTTCATTCTTGTTTCTGTACTCTGCTGTCTCCTGGTATGTATATTGACTGTAGTGATGGAGATGCTCAAGTTTTTGCGGATATCAAATTCATGGCCGATACAGATTTCCCATATTATTTTTTTATAAATTATGACTATTTTTAATATACGAGGGAATGCCTATTTCACATTAGGTATTAAATAACACGGGAAGATTAAATATTTAACCTTCTGAGACAGTCATTACTCGGCCGCTTATTGTTACTAGTGTGTGTGTGTGTGTGTGTGTGTGTGTGTGTGTGTGTGTGTGTGTGTGTGTGCGCGCGCGCGCGCGCAAAACTCTCAATAGTGGGGTTGTGTAAACTAACAATTTTTAAGCACGCGTAATGTAAATATTTTAGAAGCATCGGCTCGTAATGCAATTTTTTTTTTCCGATACCGTAAGTGTGACCGATACTTTGGCACATCCCTATTGAGGCTTTAATCCCTGGAGAACGTTAAGAAGCATAAATATAACATAAACGTTAAGAATCCATTTACTTAAATTATATTATGTATTTAATATTGCAGGAACCCTTCAGTGACCCTCTGAACTCTACCGATGAACCCACGAGTGGGTGGAGAAATTTGGGTCCTCTCCGGACTCCTTGAACTTAATGTTCCCTGTAGGGGCGGGGGATGGGGGAAGTGTCTGTACCCTACTAGACAAGCTCAATTATTTGGTTACGGAGATTAATAAATTGTTGAACTTTTATTTATCCTTCAGTTACTCTGCTTCAACTGGACATTTTACAGTACACTAATTTTGTTACTTTCAGCAAGCATGGCGACTTTAGACAACCTCCTCAATGAGCTTCGCAACAGTAATGACGCTGGGAACAAGACTGAGCATTCGAAACCAGCTGTGCCATCTCCAGCGAAATCTCCTTCAGCATCACCCAAGGTACAGCCTTCAGCACCTAATGCAAGTAAGTATCTTTAACACTAGGAACAACAGCGTCGCCAGCAGGCGGGGCCAAGGGCTCTTTGCATAATCCAAGTGATGAACAGCCCAGCCGTACCAGCCGTTCATCTCCTCTCGCTTCCTGGTCACTAAGATTACGTACCCCTGCGTCAGCAGGGCCAGACAGTAAGTCTTCAACACCGCGTGTATCACTGAAGTACAAAAGCAGGTTTGTGGAGGGTGGTGGAGCCCTGAGGTTCTGCAGGTGTTTGGCTGAGATTATTTTTTTTTCTTCCAGACATGATTTATGACTGACAAAAATTTGCTTATGTGAAATAACTGCCTTTCTGGTTCTTTATTTTTGAAATATGATGCGGTAACTTTTGTTTATAATCTTATTAAAGTAAATAGCTAAAAATAAGCCGAAAAAAGAGTGTAGCTGCTGCTTTTACTTAATCTGATTAGACTGAAGGAAGGTAAGAGGTTTATTTAAACATCCTGAGGAAACTTTAAGAGAAGGAAACAGAGAGAATAAAGACTGGACCTGAGGGACGCAAACCATTTCGGGCATTACAAAGACTAAAATTTCCATCAAACATCTGACAGGAAACTACGCAGCGCGAGAACATAAAATTTGACAATGCAGAAAGCAAAGGAAATAGAATTTTAGGTTTATTGGACACGGCCACAAGTTATCTCTGAACCGAAGGTATGATCCTGCATGCTCTCAAACAATGAGTTCACCCTTTTTTTTTCTCTATAGGTTACGTGGTAGACTGAGGGTGAAAACATTGTTTTATATTTTAGATTAATTTATATTACGAGGATATACTTTACTTCCTTAGGTGGTCCTCAATGCTGTTGATTTCACTGAGGAAGAAAACACGTCGTAGTAAGAATAAATTTGTGGAATTTCACGAGTTTTCCAAATAAAGGGGTTGAGAATTCAGGGAAGCGTCTGTAAGATTGATGGTCCCCAAGATGCTTAGGCGTCAGAGTACAAAGGAAAGATGAAAGAATTGAAAAAGTGAAAGCAGGTCGTGATGTATGGCGTCGCTAAAATTCAGGTCGAACTCGGAAACAAAAAATCCCATAGAAATAATTTCGGCCTCATTTGGTGCGGAAATATGCCCTAAATCCCGTCTTTAAAATCTCCAATTACTTTTGGGGACATTGTTTACAAGAATTTAAAATGAGGATCTTTTCATAGCTACTTAATTTTCGGTCAAGTGAATTAAGGTCAAATGTATGAGAAGCCTCTTGGCAGCCCTTTATAAAGCAGTCAGCAAGGTTTCTCAAGGAACGAAATGGTTATAATCATAGCCATAATTTTTTAAGGGGTGGAAGGGTAAGCCAGCGGAAGGTCTTGGTTAGATTACCAAAAGCTCCAGCTGCGGGTCATCAGACCCGCCTCAGGAAACACATGTCCTGCTTCCTGACATAACTAACTTAACCTAGCTTCTCAAGAGATTGCAAGTTCCTGCAGCCAACTGGTCAAACAACGTGTTCAAAGCAAATAATAGAAAATCTGGTATGAAGCCAGGTTTACTACAGTCAGTCATTGATCTCGATCAAAGAACTGGAAAGTCGTTTAAACATCCCAGCTGGATGTGTGACCTTTACATAACCCATATGGATAAAGTCGTGCCTCTGATTCATTTGACACACACAAAAACGTAGCCTTGAAAGGTCCCTTTTGTCAATCCTGTAAAAAAAAAAAAAATCCTCGGTGAATTGAGGTAATTTTTAAATGTGATTATATAGATAATATTAAATAACACACAAGAATTTGTATGAATTTTTTTTTTCCAAAGTTCGACCATTCTCCTACTAGGCTGAGGTAGACATCCGTACATAGCTAGTACTGCTAAGCCTGGTACTCTTGCCCTAGTATTATTTGAAATGCCCTCGAATTATGTCCCAAATGATCTTCATATTTATACGTGGAAGGATAGGAGTGTAAAGTACTATTTTTTGTGTATCTAGACCCATTTTTCGCCGGACCCTATAAATTAGATGTCACTGTAATAAAATGTCTAATTCGCCCTTAAATATTCACTTGCAGATCATGAGCAACGTCGGATCGAAACTTCAGGAAAGTTTTAAGGACCGTGACGCCAGTCTGCCGTTCACAGATGTTGGCTCGGATTCAAGTGACGTCCTACCAGTCTCTTCTGTCGCAGCCACACGCACTGACTGCTCCCTCGCTAAGCCAGTCAGGACTAGCCCCTCTATCGTTGAGCCGAATATGAGACTCGGCCTGCTCCCTAAACTAGAAAAGACTGGCAGCTCGTTTCCAAAACCAGATTATACCGGCAACTCACTCGTTAAACTGGACAACGAAGGGAAAATGGAGAGCGCCGAGACTGTCCACAAGGAAGGTAAGTTACCCATCTGCACTTGCTGGTTTAATTGCTGCTCGAAAACTTCTTGATATTTTAAACAGCCACGGCCTGAGAGGATGCTAAGGCGATGGCTGGCCTCCTGTTTCTCCAGCAGTGTATATATAACAGTCCTGCGTGGGGATTATACCCTAAACTCGTTGGAGCTCACCAAAAAGTCCTGCTGGGCAGTTTAGAGAGAACATGTAGTGATGAAGGTTTTTCAATTGCTAGTTCCTCGGGAATTATGTCCTTGTAGTTTTAATGGGTATTCTTCTTATCGACTGATTTGAGAAAAGTGTTTAGGCAAGGACTTTTTAATCTCTTGGTTGTGACCTGTTTGGTTTTTATTGGACAATGTTAGATCTGAAGGCAAGCTGAACATTTAAAAATATTCACTGATAGTTATTTACTGTACGTTCCAAGAGCAATAGACCAGTTTTTGGGCGATACATGAGGAAAACTTATTGTGGCCAGGTTCACTCGGGAGAACCATTTTCACTGCTGTCATTCCACTGTCTCTTAAAGGGCGGCTGCTTGAGGCCGGTGCAAGGTTCTTCGTGGATTCAGAGTAGCTTTTTTTTTCCATTCCATCCAGTTGATTTTGTTCTCCAGGTACTGCAGGATCTACAGGTTCGGTAATTCATAATGAGAGTAATAAAGCTATAATTGTCAGCCAATACTACGTATGTCCTGGTTCACTGTCTACTGACTTTAGTTCAACTTGTATGACGTTCTTAAGCAACACTGAAACAACGTAAGAAATGGTTAAAACCATAATTTTTAAAAGGGTGAAGGGGTAAGCCAGTGGAAGGCCTCGGCAGATGACTAATACCCCCAGTTGCGGGTCGTCATATAAGACCCGCGTCAGGAAATGCTTTTCTTATTTCCTGACAAACCTAACCTAACAAACTGACAAAAATTATGTAGGGAAGATGGTTACTATTACTTACGAATAATGTATGGGAAATCTTTTTCCACATTACGCATCAGCTAGATAATTCAACTATTTCATTTATGAAATGATTATTATGTACCCTCTTGATTCTTACCCTACCGCTTCAAGAGGAACCTCGGAAGCACAATAAACTAAGACCCAGTAACTTGACTAGAGAAATACACAAATAATCCGCACATAGAGAAGTTTTGACGACGCTTCGGTCCGACTTGGACCATTTAAGTTGCACTAAAACATGAAGGTGAGGAAGCCAGAATTTGTAAAATTCTGGCCTCCTCACCTTCCTGTGTTAGTGACTTGTAAATGGTCCAAGTCGGACCGAAACGTTGTCATAAGCTTCTTTGTTTAGGGTATTTATGCATAATAAACTAGCTATTCAAAGTCATTAGTTAGAATATTATCATGGCAAATATCTTACTTCAGGGCAGGAGACGCAACTCTTATAACACTCATTATACCTTTGCTTTGACTTTTTAGACAAATATAAAGTTTAGTTCAGTACACAGAAGATACTGGGTGTTTAATGGCTACAGTCAGTCTAGAGCCCCCCTCCCCCCCCCCACACACACATACATACATACATACATATCCCACTCTTAGCCATGATACAGGGGACTAAAACAATCCATGGGTTTAGAGTTTGGTTTCGATTATAATCGAAGTAATGTAAATAGTTCCAGGCAAAGATTTGAAGGTTAAGAATACCTTCATATACCAGACTGATGTACGGTTATTTTAACTTGGTATTTAAGTGCTGATTTGAATACTTTTAGTTCTTGCTTGTGTTTGTGTGGTTGTACCGATTTCATTTGTCAGCTTTTGAATAACCTTATAGACCAAAGTCAAAATTCCAGATTTTGTCGTCGAACATAAGAACATAAGAAGGAACACTGCAACAGGCCTACTGACCCATGCGGAGCAGGTCCATGTTCCACCCCCCCGGATTAGACCAATGACCCACCCCCCGGATAATCCAAATGACCCACCCAGTCTGGTCATCCCCACTCAAAGATGGAGCACTGCACCAGACCCAGCAGCACAAGCTAGTCAGGTCCAACTCACACCCACCCACACCCACTCATGTATTTATCTAACCTATTTTTAAAACTACACAACGTTTTAGCCTCAATAACTGTACTCGGGAGTTTGTTCCACTCATCCACAACTCGATTACCAAACCAGTACTTTCCTATATCCTTCCTGAATCTGAATTTTTCCAACTTGAAACCATTGCTGCGAGTCCTGTCTTGGCTGGAAATTTTCGGCACACTATTTACATCCCCTTTATTTATACCTGTTTTCCATTTATACACCTCGATCATATCCCCCCTAATTCTACGCTTTTCGAGAGTGTAGATTCAGGGCCTTCAGTCTATCCTCATAGGGAAGATTTCTGATACATGAGATCATCTTTGTCATCCTCCTTTGTACGTTTTCCAGAGCATTTATATCCGTTCTGTAATACGGTGACCAGAACTGAGCAGCATAGTCTAAATGAGGCCTAACCAAGGATATATAGAGTTGAACAACCTGAGGACTTCTATTATTTATACTTCTAGATATGAAGCCAAGAATTCTGTTAGCTTTATTGCGAACACTAATGCACTGTTGTCTTGGTTTTAGGTTACTGCTAACCAGAACTCCTAAATCCTTTTCGCAATCGGTAGTGTTAAGATCTGCATTATTTAGTTTATATGTGGTTTGGTTATTTAACTGTCCAACATTTAGAACTTTGCATTTGTCAATATTAAACTGCATCTGCCACTTCTCCGACCATTGCGTCAGTCTATTCAAATCATCCTTTTGAATATTGTCTTTTAAACATATCCCTGAGGTATCCCGGTAATAACTGTTGTTTTTAACCCTAATGCTGCAGCTTGATTGTTTCCCACAGACACCCATACCTCTATAATCTATCAGTTTAAATTCCTAGACAAGTCATCAATTACCCTCTCAATTGAATTGGCTAATGCAACCACTCCATCCCCAGAGAGATGAACCCCATCCCTTGCATACATATCACGTTTGCCAAAGAAAAGGTTCCAGTTATCAATGAATGGGATTGCAAGTTCCTTGCAGTACGTGTCTAGTCAGCGATTTATACCAATTGCCCTAGACATCCATTCATTGCCCATTCCCTTTCTAGGCAAGATGCTACATATGACTGGGATCCCTCCCTTAGACCTAACTACTTCTATGGCTGACCTGTACTTATCCAGCAGCTCCTCTCTCCTGCCCTTCCCAATGTCATTACCCCCAGCACTAAGACAGATAATGGGCTTGTTCCCATTACCTGCCATAATATTATCCAACCTGCTATGTCGCCAACACCAGCTCCAGGAAGACACGCTCTGTGTCTGACCTTTCTGTCTGTTACAAAATGCACGGTCCATATATCTTACCTGAGAATCGCCTACTATTAAAATATTCTTACCTTGATTAGCAGGGGTATCAGTGGTACCTTCAACCTCACTAACCACTGAAGTACACTCGTCTTGGAGAACAGAGAATCTATTTCCTACCTTCACATCTTTATTAACTCTCCTCATCTTCCTTCTTCCTGAACTGTGAACCACTTGCCACTTAAAGCGGCTGCCACTATCACTGCTGGTGACCATTTCTACCTTACCAGCTAAATCCTTCTCACACTCTTCCAAACTCGTCTATGTGAAGCTTCAGCTTCCTATTTTCCTCCTGAAGACGTAGAATCTCCTTCAACACATGAACCTGGGATTCTAAAGCACTACAACAAGCCATGGTATGGGTAACAGCCCACGCTAACTCCCAAGAGCTTGGCAGGTATGACCGCACTTGACCACTGACTGCTAGTTTATGCAAGATATCCATCCTGTAATGAATTTACAAATTCTAAAGTCTCTATATCTTTCATACTTTAGCTTCAAGCTTCCTCGTAACATGAGTCTCTTCAGATGAAATGGAAGCCATAACTGTGTCATACCTGTATATGAATCTGATCTCCCATGCCCATTAAACACACGAGTCGGTAGGTAAAGCTGTGGAATCAACAGTGGTGGTATGGCGCAGCAAGATGGGCGACGCTTTGCCAGATATAAACATCCAGTGTGTGGCTGCCTCAGACTTCTCTCCTTCATGTGTTCTCTCCTTCCATTCACTACCTGTCCTGCTACTCCATCCTTCCTCGTGTGTTCTTCCTTTCCAGTCATCTGCTCGCCTTCAGTTTCCTTTCGCTATATTCTGCTCCCCTAATTTGTTTGAACCTTTTTTCTTTTATGCTATTCCTTTTATCCTGTTCTTTCCTCTTGGTTTTTGTCCTGTTCTCACACCTTCCCTCCTTCCTCTCATGATTCAGTCTTATCCTGGGTCGTCGTCCGCAGCGGCGTTACTCCGCTTCACAAGTCATTCCTATTAACCCAGACAGGTTTACCTCCATGGCTCATCCTTCCCTGCCTCTCTCTCTCTCTCTCTCTCTCTCTCTCTCTCTCTCTCTCTCTCTCTCTCTCTCTCTCCTACCTTCATTAGTCATCTTCCACCCATCCCGTCCCTCTTTCCTCTTCCATAAATTCCCCTATTGTCTCGTAGACTTTTCATCCTCCACCATCTCCCCCCCCCCTTCTCGTTTTTCACTGTCGTCCCCCTCCCTACGTTCCTTCACCGTCGTACCCTTCCCCCATCTCCTAGTGTCCTGCTTCGCACGCTGCGCCTTCCTCTAGGTACACGCTTACTAAAAGGTCTAATTTAATGGGTTGGGTAGTAGCTGCAGTGCGTGTGCCCGGGAGGGGGTTTCTACACTGCACCAGGGGGCTCTAAACTGTACCGTGGGATTGTATTGTACTAGGGGGAGCTGTACACTCTACCAGGGGGCTCTTTACCGGGGGCTCTATACTGTACCAGGGGGCTCTACGCAGTGCCAGGGGGGCTGTACACTGCGCCAGGGGAGCTCTACACTGTGCCGTGGGCCTGTACACTATGCCGGGGGGCCCATTGGTTGATGTCCGGTTATTAGGAAGCTTAACCACTAGTGGTCATACGGCAATAAGATAAAAATGAAGCTAAATCCAGC